AATAATTTGCTAATAATATAACCTAGACTTCCTCATTTTAATTAGGATTTTTTGATAATGTGCATTACATATTTGACAATTAATACATAATTAACGATCAGTTAACATTATATTCCAGTAAACAATGATACATTTTATTGTTTTATAAGTATTTATAATCACCGAGATCTAAGTTTTAAGTGGAGTTAACCATTTAAATCCTTTTGGCCAAAAGACCTCTCACCAACTTACATATAATTTACTTGTAAATAAAACCAACATTTTTGTTGAAAAATGAACATTTTTGACGAAATGTGGAACATCCTATTCATAAAATAAGTTATCGTAACTATTTATTTAAACTTTCTGCCCAAAACATCAATACCCGTTTCCAAAATGTGAGGATATCCATACATTGCCACATACTTTTTACAAAAAAAAAAAAGAAAATGAATCTGGAGTACATTGCGTTTCTGATACCGTCTACATTCCGTTTAAGATGCAGTAACACTTTTTAAGTGTTCAAATTAACTTTTTACAAATCTGTATGTAGCTTTGGTATGCGGAAACATCTGTTAGCTGACTTCTTGCACAGATCTTAAAATATAACGTTCAGAGATTGCTTTACTTCGGTGGATAGGTCGCAGGGGGGAATGCTCCCCAAGGTCTCCAGACCTTACTTCCCTAGAGTTTTTTTCATGGGAATACCTGAAAGATAAAATGTACAGCCATAAACCACAAACATTGCAGGATTTGTGGGTGATGATACAACAGGAAGCAGGCAAAATTACTGCTGACATGTGCACCACTGTGTGTCGGGCTGTTGGGAAACGATTCCGTTCGTGTACGAGTGTTGATGGCGGACATTTTGAATGTTTGACGTAACTTCAGTAATGTATCAGATTTCTATGTGTCTAATGTATTTGAAAAAATTTTGGGTCATGTTTACCCAATAAACTTTCTGAAATACAACATGTCAAGTTGGTTATACATATTTTTTTACTCACCCTATACATTATTTAGAAATTAGAGGTATGTAAAGGCTAATAATATGTAAGTGATAGGTTAATAAAAATTCATGTATTTATGAAAACTTTTTTTCCAAAATAATGAAAAATGTTACTTTAAGAAATGTGTATGAAAATACTAAATTAAACATTCTAATATTTACAAGCCCCCCAATGGCACAGCGGTATGTATGCGGACTTACAACGCTAGAATCCGGGTTTCGATACCAGTGGTGGGCAGAGCACAGATAGCCCATTGTGTAGCTTTGTGCTTAACTACAAACAAACTAATATTTACAAGAAATATTTATGTTCACTACATGTACTAGAATAAAAAAAAAATCACTTTAGCTTACCTATGTAGTACATTCTTTTTTCTGTGACTATTTCTTTCTTTCTTTCATGGTACACAAAAATGTTTTGATTTGCAAGCAGACTTTTTTTAAAGGATCTGGGATATTTGGCAAGCCTTCCGGGAGAGAATATACATGATTCCAGGATACTAGAATCTAGACCTTTCCACCGGGGGGAAGAGTAAGCTGGGGGAATGAATTCAAATTCGATAAAATGGAAAATAGTGTACTTTAATTTTCAAGGTGTCTGAACGTACATTAGGCCCCTCGATGCTAATATTAATTCAGCTATGAAGCGGGTCTTGTCCCATCCGGTTTCTCAGCGTATTTAAAATACGGTTCATGCCGCTGAAAGAACGCTTAACTCCAGCAGTCGAAACCGGCACCACCATCAGACATTCAGTTAATTTTCGTAATCCATGTTTGCTTTCCACAAGTTATTCACAACGTTTGTATGTTGATCTTCTTGCTCCCTTGCAACGTACCTGAAGGAACTCAAGTCAGCTCACACGGCATCAGGATCCAGTCCATCAAAGAAGCTACATCCTCTCTTCACATCATCATATGTCAAACTACACACTGACTGGACTGTTTGGAAAGAAGCACATACGTTCATGAGGGAGACCGCTTGATCATTGAGTCGGTGCTCCATTTGTTCAATCATACTGTCAACAAATCTTTTAACGTTTTTGAAGGTTTGACTTTCTAGCTCATTTTCAAGAACCGGCCGCACACCAGAAACCTTTGTTTTGAGATCTACGACAGCTATAGCAACAGAGTTTTCTTTGTTTAAATGGGCACACTGAGTCATTCTATCTCTAGAATGTGCTACCGTCGACGTCACAAGCTGAGGAACTGATCACAGGTCTAGGTTTTCTTTTTCCAAAACTTGGCTGAGGTTATATACTGCACATAAAGCCTCATCGAAAACAACTAGGGTAACAATAAAACTAGATTTCTCAATTTCCAGCAAGAAACCTCCTGCTAACGATGCTAAATCTGAACCATCTTTGTATGCATGCTCACAGGCCATCATAACTGATCAGAAACAAGTTAAGACGACATGAACAGATTTGTAATTACTGAGCCAGCACACTTCGACTGATTCTGGAATTTTTA